ATTTTAGGTAACAATAACTATGAAACCTGAGATTCTAGAAGGTGATTTGCTTAAAACGATCTATGCTTCTATATTCCTTTCCAAGTCTCTACTTAACGGTAAAGTGAATAAACACAGGCTACTGTGCTGTGTTTCCAAAGATGGCCACATTATTTCCCATCTCACACGCGCTTTTGCATTCAATTTTGCCATGCCTACATTAAGAGGCAGAGTTCACAATCTTCTAACTCCACCGAATTTTAGCCCAGAAGTGAGGCTGTTTAACTTCTTAAGAGATCTGTAGTTTCTGCCTATACTTCTTGGAATGCTCCTTCTTGGAAAACAGTTATGCTGCAAGGGAGTCCAAGCTAGCCATGGAGAGAGCGAGCGAGGCCACATGAAGCAGTACCACCAAAGACCCTTTGTGACTATACAGACAGTAATGATTGTACAGGAATGAAGGCAAGAGCATAGGCTTTTAGGACTTAGAAGATCAAGACTCAATTCCCACATTTGCCATTTATTTACCTGTTGAGCTTGTAGTAGTCACTTAACCTTTCAATTAGCCTCTTTAGTCACTGTTACCCACACAAGCTATCTGTTGTGAGAACACAAAATGAGACAAGTGATGTAAAGTGCCAACCCCAGAGTTACTCAGGAAATAAACAAACAAACAAACAAACAAAAACAAATAGGCTTGGGATTCTCCTTCTCTTCACTTCCTGTCCAACTCTAAGCCTCACAGAGAATAGGTAAACTGTGCAATCTCATGGTATGCTTCCTCTGGAGGGCCACGATGAGGAGTAGGAGAAAAGTGGAAAAAGGAGGATTAGATTCCTGATGAATTACTCACTCATTCTGGGCCTCAATTAGAACTCAAAGGTGTGGGACCAGATAAATCTTAAGGACCTCTCAGCAATAATGTCCTACGTATATAATAGAAAATACGAAGATTTCTTTTGGCCATATCTTTATTTTTCCCCAATATTATTACTTCCATAGAGTGTGCAACAGTAATACTACACCTAAGAGTTATGCCTAGCAGCACTGGCTCCTAGGACAGGCAAATGCAACAGAAGATCACACAGTCTGAAAAGCAGCGTATGCCTCCCAGTTGAACACACATCTCCACTCAGGACTGCTGTGGAACTCACTCAGAACTGGAGCTCAGAGCTTAGGCCTCCAGATTGTTAAAAATCAACTATTTGTAGGGCATTTTCAATGTATAAACTTAAAAAAAAAATAAAAAAACCGGAATCCAATGAAAGGACTTAATCTATATTTTCAGAAATTATAAATAATTCTGATACAATTTACCCTAAATTGAAATATATATTAATCTTAAGGTCTGCTGTATACAACATGGTTTTTCTAACTATATTAAGTTTTAAAATTAACTTTTTTCAATACATATGCAAATGTAATGAAATAAAACAAAATGTTTCCCCTCAAATGAGAAAACAAAATTCTGATATATGCCATTAAAATGTGCTGAATTCAAGACACTGTTTTAGCACGCTGACTGCTAGACTAGAAAAAAAATTTTTTCCCTGGGGCCATGGTGTTTTATTAATAAAATAGAATAAAAACTTAGAAAACGAAAGAATCTT